GTTCTCACCGGACCAGGCTCTCACATCACCAAGCGCGAAGCGCCGTGAGGTATTTGGCGAGTCGCATGAAGGGTGAGCTGCATCCTGCTAAGGGTGTTCGGCATCTTGTGCTTACTTCCTTGCGTACGGATGACAGCTACGTATGACTTAATTTATTTTCTGGTGCTTTCACTTCCAGAGACAGTTGTAAGCGCTGTGTAACTGCCTCGAGGAAGCTTGACCATTTTAACACATCGAGGTGCGATCATCCCCCGTTGCGCGGAGTGAGGTTTCTCGACCCCGCACAACATGATCTACTCGACCACCATTATGGTTACCGCCAACAAAAAAAAACGAGGTAAAAAAAAAAACACGGTAACCTGGTTGCCGAGTTCACGAAGTGAATGGGCTTGTTTTACAACGTCGTTGCCAAGCGACGAAAACCCAAACCCCGATGGCAAACACCGGGGGGGGCGGCTTGTTTTACAACGTCGTTGCCAAGCGACGAAAACCCAACCCCGATGGCAAACACCGGGGGGGGGGGAAAGGGGGGGGGGAGCAATGCATCCAGCCCTGCGTTTCGCAAGCCTCGTTGGCCCCCCCCCGGAGGGGGCACCGCGGAGGATATTTATCGACGGGGTGCAGCCTCCGAGTTTGCGTGTGTGTGCCCTGTCGTGTAGCTTGCAGGTTTACTTTCCGGTCTGCCCGACCTGCACCACCCCACGAAGACCTCGCGTTTCATGTCTGGCCTTCGAGCTCCGCTTGCCAAGCCTTCTACGCTACAAGTTTACATACACCACCACACAACGGTAACCGCTCCACCTCAAACTTGTTGAATGAACCAGGTGGAGAAGATGTTGACGTCCACGTCGGATCGCGGAGGCCGGAACCTTCTCGCGAAGGCGGTGCAAGGCGGGGCGGCGCCGGTGGTGTGCGCCCTGGTGGACCTCCTGCTTGCCCACAAGCTCGCGCCCGCGCAGGTGAGCAACGCAACTTACATTTTTCGTCTGAGTTGACCGTCCGGCGTTGGGCGTGGCCAGGTGGCAACTTACCCAGGGCTAGTCTCATTCCTGAACAACGCCAAAGCATTTCCTGCGGAACCTAACCCTGCGACGGGGTGAGGCTGCTCGAATGGGCGCAGCAATTGTTTCGAAGACACTATCGTACCAGCTTGAGCTTTCCTCTCCCCCGCGAAGCACGTTCCGTTTTCTCGTTTTCGACGCACCGTTGTTTTCCGCCGGACTGCGTGTTGTCCTAGCGCAGAGGGTGAAGGTGCTCAGCTCCGCCAACGGCAGGAACCAGACTACTTTGATGGTCGCAGCTCAGTCGGGGCAATCAGAGATTGCGCAAGCGGTGATCAGGCTTGTCGGAGAGGACTGGGTGCCGAACGATAACGAGGTGGGTGCATGCGAACCCCCCGCGTTATTTGAAACATTTCGTTTTTCCCGTATGCTGCTCCCGATCCCCTCCCCCTGCTTTTTTCTTCCACGACAGCACCTACCGCAGGGTGCGTAAGATATCACACCCCCTGGACCGATTTTCAAAGCGTGTTTAATCCACGACGAAGAGGATGCCGAAATTGAGGTATTCGTTTGCGGAAAGCTCTCGAAGAGACGGTTCCAACGCCGCTATTTTCGGCACCGTCATTGCTTTCCAGCCGAGATATCGATCGTCGAAAATTGGTCTAGGGAATGTGATATCTTGTGCAGCCTACGGTATACACCCGAAGGGTGTAGGAAGTGAGAAGACGCCTTTGGCTTCAACTGTTCGTTGTATGCGTAGCGGATGACACCGGTTCACACGAAGCAGTGAAGCGCTTGAGCGTTTTTGGCGTGCCGAACTAGGAGGCGGTTTTCATTTCATGTCAGCTGATTTGTCGTCAGATCGTCTCCTGTACCCTTCCTTTCCCATGCTCTCTTCTACCCTTTTGTTGTTCACGCTCCCCTATGCGCTTTTTTGCCCACGCTCAGCAAATATATATCATCACCCAAGCTCGATCCATGCCATCATCACTGCGGTCAAATTTTTGCGTAATATTTTTTCCAGGAAGCGGAATTTGTAACCAAAACCGACAGCCGGGGGTGGAGCGCCCTCTCTTACGCCGTCGTCAGCGGACACACGGCCGTCGTGGATGCCGTGATTTCCCTCATCGAGCGAGCGGTTCTTCCTGAACAGGCACGTACACTGCGTCCGCAAAACGTAAAATTTACATATCCCCAAAACAAATAAATCCAAACCGATACATCCCCTTACAGGTGTTTTGCCTTTACGTAGGCAGAAACGGCGTAGACTACTAGACTATGCCGCATGTGTACATGGGAGGAATTTAGTGCGGCGGGTCTTCCTCGAATAAGTGTCCAAAGTGTGGATTTGCTTGGTTTCTCAACAAAACGGCCTCCAGCAAATTTGTGTTTTCTGGGTCGACAACATCTCTGTCCGTTGCGCTCGCGGTTCGAATCCACTCTCGTTGTTTTGCTGTCGATTTGTCCTCCGCCAATCGGGTCAACGACGGTCACAAGTGGTCAACCTTCGCCGTCGGCCATAAAAGCCTCTGATCTTTTTGCGACGTTGTTCGAAGCGCCGTTTACACCCATTATGGTTACTCCGGCCTTTTTTTTTTGTTTCGCCAGCGGTCGTTCTAACCTCCTGACCGCTCCAAAACAACAGGTCAATCCGATCATCGACGACTGCCTCCCTTTGGCGATGTCCGAGGTGCTCATGTCCAACAACCAGGTCCGAGGGGACGAGGCCGTCTCGGTGTTGTCGTGCCTTATCAAGCACGGCGCCGGACCCACGCCAAGGCAGGTGTCACTCGTGGGGAGCAAGGCCGGCTTCGAGGCGGCGAGGAAGTGCTTCCTCGATGCCGTGTGCTCCGCCGTGAACCCCTTGCTGGTCGGGATGCGGCTGTCTCTGCTGCTCGCGGATGCTGCAGAAATGGGCAACGAGGGGCAGCGGCAGGTGCGTTTGTTGGGTGGTGTTTATCTGCTGCTGCTTTCTGTTCTTCTTTCTGGGTCACTGAAACGTTGGCCGTGGTGTGCGAGAGCCTGTGGTCTATTCCTTGCCGACAGGTCCAGTTCGGGGAGCGACATCTTCTATGAGTCACAAGCGACCCAAATGACGACGTTCGGGAAACAAACATAGCCCAGAATGACCGTTTATGTTTCGCTTCCATGATCGAAAGTGGCTCCGAGTGAAACGAGTGTAAAATACGAATAAAGGGACGAACACTCATACACACATCCAAAGTAGGTCTGGGTATCTTGTTACGGCTACCTCCTGGGACTGCCTCCTAGCCACCTCTTATGCGTGTGCCTCACCGAAGTTTCGGTACAGCCTACAGCGTGGCCTATTTAAGGCCCCCAAGCAACTTCATGCAGTGAATTCGGGTTGGCCTTCAACCGACTACGAGTACGTTCATATACACGGAAAGTTATTCTCCATTGTATACCATTTCAAGGACCCCGCTTTAATAATCATGTGAATTAATGCAATTAATACCTCTTGTGGTTGGTGAACACGAAATGTCGAAGGAAATCCAACGTTAAACAGCACAAAATAAAATCGCCGGAACCCCGCCTTGCAGAGCAATAGAATGTTATTTATTCGATATATACCGTATATGACACAAGATAACACACACCCTTGGCCGATTTTCAAAACTCGATTTCTCAACAGCAGGAAGAGTCACGGCGCCGAAAACGGCAGCGTTGGAATCGTCTCGTCGAGAAATTTTCGAAAATGTATCGTTTTGTTTGTGCATCCTCTTCGTCGTGGAGTAATCGAGCTTTGGAAATCGGTCCAGGGGGTGTGTTATCTTGTGTCATATACGGTATGCTGCTCTCATGGTGGTTTTCGGCGGGAATATCGTGCTCACCAGCAGGCGGCATCCGTCGGTTTTGTTGATGTGCAAGTCCGTCGGCCCTATTGGTATGGTATTCACCGTTCCGTGTACATTTGACCGCACGTTCACACGATTAACTGGCTGATAATAATCTACGCTGTCCCATGTCCGGGCGGTCCCTGGTCCAAGGTCCGGCGGCCCACGTGATCTACACGAACGAACCACGCGTGTGCATGTGTCTCATTTGTTTTTTCATCCGTTCTTTTGTGGTCATCAGGTGGCACTCTTGATCTACCTCGATCTCACCGAACGTTTGACGCGACTCCAAGGCTCTCGTTTTTGATTGCATGTTTGTATTCTCGTCAGGTGGCTCTCCGCCTGCAGAATGAAGTCGAAGACCTCGTCCTTGAAGTGTTCGAGAGGTTGCCGCAGACCGTGGATGCCTTTCGAGAGGGAGACATCGCCGGCAGCGGCATGGATGTGAGCAGTTTGTTTGTCTGCTGCCGATGCCAGCCCGGCTAGTGGGACACCAGGTCGGAAGTCAGTTCAGGCACGTCGTTACGCCTACGTCACCACCCGGGAGTTGTACATTCCTAACACATCAAAGCCCGCGTGCTTCATGGCCGAAAGCCGTGCTTGGCATAGGCCCATTAGGACGGGGCGGAGTGGGGGTGCCCAAGTTAGAGACCGTTCTGATGGAATTCTTGTATAAGTCCAGTACTAGCCCTTCCGTACCCTGATCTCCGAGGCCGATGAGGGAGGTTCGGAAGAAGAAGAGCATGAAGAGGGGAGTAAATGTCAAGGCTTGTGGCATTCTCGTCCCGCACAACGAGCTGCCCCCCTGGTCTATTTGGCCCCTAGAACTCCTGCGCGACTGCTGTGTCTCTGGCTGCTACTTCATGCAGCAGCAAAGCCTCATCCCGCCCCGACAACCGTTGTCTCGGCTAATAGCAGAACACATGATCGCACATTCCGAGTTGCTACACTGGCTAATTCCGCTTTGCCCAACTGACGCGTACCAAAGTTACTACCTCCCTTTCAAGACTGCGCGCACTCCAACTCGTGTTCCCTCTTTCTGGCCCAGACGCTCGTCGATTGTTGTCTGTTTACCGCTTTGTCGACCCTCTGACTGCTGTATCGGTTAACGTTTTTTTTGCCTGTTTTTTCGCTGGCAAGCTACACCCTCGTACGATGCTTGTGCAGATTGTTTACTTCACTGACCCTCCCAATGCTCCGTCGCCCTCTGGTTGTATCCAAGCTGCCCCCTGCTGCTCGGTTCCAATATCCATGCCGGGACCGTGTATCAATTTATAGTATACCCATATTCCCGCCACAGAATTCCGCGACGCGTTCCTGTAAAGTCAGAATATTACAACACACGACATAACGAAGGGTGTCCCCCCGATTTTTGTCGTTGACCCGTAGACAGAGAAAACTATGGGGGAGATGTGTTGTGTTATTAGTTTGTAACTATACAGTGTGTTTGTGATTAGCACCTGCTGGCATCACTAATAATTTTTATTCAGCGTATAGGTTAAATTGACTCGAAGTAAGCCCAGTACCCAGCCGGTTTCCCTCCATTCACTGTAAAGACTCCAGCACATCCTGGCTAAAACCTCGAACGGGTACAATCTTGGTGTGTTTGTATTTATGTTTCCTAATAGTTCCGCAACCTACGTGGATTTAAAGAATCCAGATTTTGCAACCTTTTGAGGGAGTGATCGTACGATATTTTCGCAGCATAATTCACTGCTGTTTTTTTGTCGCGGATTCTCGGGAAACGGGTTTGTTGTGTGAAATCAGCCTGAGCGAGAGGTCATCGTCATGTGATTTCCTGGTCCCTGTTCTCATTATTTTCACAATAATGCTTGGCTTTTCTGGGCAAACGAATCATCTCCCGTAGCACGAATCGCCCTCAGTTAAGTTGGCTGCCCAAGAGCAACATTTTTTTGTTTCTCGGTCTAGCCTGCCATGCAGCCAGCACCAGCGAATCCGATCCACTGAATTTCTGAAAGCAGCACCCCCTACTCGGACAAACCCAGGCTCGTCGTGTGTCCGGCCCAACCACAACTGTTATTTACCCCGCCGTGGTGTCGCTGCCAACGATCATACCCAGGCATGCGCCGTCGTTTTCGCCCCGGAGAAGATGCGGCCACGTGACGAAACCATCCCGTCCCACTTATTCCAAGACGACGCCGGCGGAACCCGAGTGGATTCCGGGCCGCTGGAAATGGCGTTGCAGGCCCGCCACCAGCTTGAGCTGTTCTGCACCCAACCGCTGGTTCTCGATTACCTAAACCGCGCATTCACACGAGGGCTGCCGGGCCTCGACGCGTCGGAGGCCGGGGCTCAGGAGGCCGACCAACTCAAGCTTCGCATGCAGCGGAACGCGTCCGTGCAAGTCAACGCCGGCGACGGTGAGAGCTCGGGAGAGTTTTCGCGGGAGCTGCTGGAGGTGCTCGAGGGGTCCCACCCGGTGTTCGGGAGCCTGACACTGTCCGCGGGGAAGCAGTTCATCCTGGCGCAGGTCGTGGCGCGGCCGGCGTTCAGCTACTCGGTACCCGCCGTGAGGATGGCGGTCGACCTCCTGGTGTACCTCCTCATGCTCGCGCTCTTCGCCAAGGATGTCCTCTGGTACGAGGAGGGCACCGTCGAGGTCGGCGAGGTCGTGTTCTTCGTATACGTCGTGGGGGCGATCCTGGTCGAGATCACCGAGCTGTGGGACGGGAGGGAGGAGTACATGAAGGACCACTGGAACGCGCTGGACGTGGCCGCCCTGGCTTTCTGTGGGGGCGCGTTCCTTGTGCGGGTGTACGACCCGGAGAGCTTGTGGGGGAGAGCCCTGTACTGTGCTGGTAAGGGCGCCATTGGTACCGAGCTTGCGTTCGGTGCTCTGTTTTTCCGGTTTCCCTCGGACGAAAGCGCTTATGTGCCCGCGAAGAAAGTGAAACCGCTTGTGTCATGTCCATCGCGCTGGCACGTGCAACGTTCTTCCTGTCAAAGGGTTGCGTTGCCCCCAGGAGAGGTTTCCATAGTGCGTCGTTGTATGACATGTAAATGGCCTCATGTTGCACTTTTTGCATTGTTTGTGCTTTCACTGCTGCTGTTGTTCTAGATGGCATTTTTGACTTGTCTGTCCCTCGTGTTGCCCTTCCCTTGCTCGTTTGATTTCGCCGCACTTTTTCAGGTGCGCCGCTCCTGCTGTTTCGCACACTCTTTTTCGCGCAGTTCATGCCGGCGCAGGGACCAATGATCGAGGTGAAGGAAGCACGAGGGTACCCATCACATTGAAGGGGTTTAAGTTTGCCCCCGGTCGCCAACAAAGCACTGGTGGTTTGCCACGTCAAATTTTGGCGTTGTCGTGCTGGCGTCTATCTCACAATGATGGTGGCAGCGACTCGGGCCAAGCATCAGATCCCGTTGACGATTCGTTCTCGCCGTTCGGGGTAACGTTTTCGCAGATCATCTTCAGTCTGGCGGGCGAGCTGCTGAGGTTTTGCACCATCCTGCTGGTGACAATGATGGGCTTCGCAATGAGCTTTTTCGCTCTCTTCCGGCATTCCTGCACAGTCGGCTCGTTTCAAACGTATTGGTCGACGTCCATCGCGCTGCTTCGAGCGATGCTGGGGGAGACTAAACTGGTGAACGGTTGGATTAGAACCATTTACTGTAAATATTTCTCCCGATGAAGGACCGTCGTGTCCTATTTTGAGTTCTTGCCTGGCACACTTGTTTGGATTGCAGCATATACTAGGTATTTTGGCATGGGTCTGTGCTTTCGTTCCACGCAACCCGACCAAGACGGAGGCCTGATGGATGAGTCAAGGCGAACCTACACGAGTATTGTTCAGTGAAGATCTCTACAGACTTCGGCTTTTAACGTTAGGGGGATTTCGCAAGACCAATCGATACATGATCGCAAGTATGAATATGTACATGGTGGAATGACTTCTACCTCCCCTATGAGTGTAAGCTTGAATACCATTGTTCGTGTTTCTATAACAAGCCTCGTGTGTTGCACGCGGTTTTTCTTTTTTCAGTACGACGACTTTACCGTAGCCGCGGAGTGCTGCTATGACGCCGTTGAGCCGTCGGACGAGCTCCACTGCGAAGACTTCCTGATGGAGTGCTGCCACAACGTGGAATCTGAGCACTTCAACGGCCTCGTCGGAAAGGCTTTGCTCGCTGCCTACAATGTGGTGAGCTACTGTAGCCACGGAGCACATCGTTCTTGCTCATATAGAACAGTTCACCATGGAAGCGGGGCCCGATTCGGTATCATAGCAAACCGTACGCACTCGGGTGACTATGCCAGAGGAGTACTTGAATAACTGTCCACCACCTGGTGGGGTCGTGCGTGCGTTGTGACATCATCGTTGCGATGCCTCGTCACTTCTCCTGCAACGTTGATGGCACTACCCCCCCCCCTCCCAGGTGATGGGAATCATTCTGCTCAATCTTCTCATCGCCGTTCTCTCCGAAGCGTACGTGGACGTCAAGGAGAACATCGACACTGAGTCCAAGGTGACGAGAACCCTGGTGATTCGGCACTATATGAAAGCCGTCGATCAGGACATGCTCCCGCCTCCTCTGAACCTGGTCCAGCACGCCGTGTCGACGCTGGCGATGCTCTTCGGCTCCCTCACAGGTAAGACGGGAGTCTTCCGGAAAGCGGAGTTCTACTCGGGACTGGTGCTGTTCTGGTTTGTGTCTGGCCTTTTCGCAGTGCTCGCCGGATCGATACTGTGGATCATCTCCTGGCCGAGAGGAGTATTCATGTTCTTCCTGCGACGGTCATCACACAGCGGTAGGGTCTCGGCGAGCGCTCAGCTGGTCGCTCTCTTCTGCGGCGCGGCAATGCCCCTGTTGATGCTGTACAAGTGGCTGTGGGCCTCGACGTGCGGAGCCCTGTGGCGGCATCTGGCCGATGGCGGCGCTTGGTCGAACGACGGCGGGGCCAGTGCCGGCTACGACGAGATCCGAAGCGATGATAGCAGAAGACCCCGGCCGCACGACGACGGTATCGTCGGGAAGACACTGGAGCGTTACGGCGGCACGGCGGGACAGGGGGGCGCTCTCAACGTGCACCAGCTTCGAGAGTTCTTGGCGAACCCGATGAAGGACCCCGTGGTCCAGCGGGACGAGGAGACGAGAGAGACCACGGTAGAGCACGTCAAGCTGTTGAGAGACAACCTCACGGAGATGGTTGGCGAGAGGGTGGGCGAGCTCGATGCAGCCGCGACGGCGAGGTTTCAGAGCTTGGAGACCAGTATGGATGGACGTGTGGACGCGTTGTCGGAGAAGGTGGACAGAGTTGACGAAAAGCTGGCGGAAATCTTGCGCAAGTTGGATGGTGCCACCTGAAGCACGCTTTCGAAGGACTTCGCTCTTTGTCGGTAACGTCGTTTATTTGGTTTTGCGTAGGGATGTAGCATCGACGCACATGGCTGTACGAGAGTTTGTGCTTTTCGGGAGCAATTGATGCGTATCTCCACACGCGAACGTTGTTCCGCTGTACTGCTGGGTGGGAATTGTGACGTTGTAAGCATTGTATCGGCTTCCACGTGTTTCTGTTTGTGCACACGCAAGTACTTTCCCGGTGCGAAGCCGTAGTTTCCTAGAACCACCATCTCATGTGCCGTTCTCCATAGCGTACCAAATGGGTGCGGTGGGAAACATTCTCCCGCTACCTTACCATCGGATAACTCGGCTCGGTCGTCATGACTCCACCTTGGGTTGGGCTCAGGACCTTTCATACATGGTATAGATTTGTTTTTGGAGTTTGCAGCAGAGGCAGTCATCACCCATCAATCCACGCTTGCGTATTCCTTTCATGTTTTCTAGTACCATGTAGACAAACTTAGACAATGTACGATATTTGTAGCATCATGTATGCGTCGCCAGAGCACACTCGAGATGGGAACCCATGGCCAGATGCAACGTCGGCGGCGAAGTGAATCGTCATAGCTGAAGTAATTATTACCGTTGAGTTGTGACAAGGTGCCTATCAGAGGCTGTCACAAAGGAATGATCTGGTAGGTGTGACAGCCTCTGATAATGTTTTGTCCGCGGAATTCTCGTTCTGTTGGAACGATAGGTGACAAAGATTGCGGACATTAAAACGCCTTTGAACGTGACGATTCGAAGCCTCTGCAGGGTACGTACACGACCGTGTTGTTCGGGACGTCGCGACGAGGTTTTGATATGTGCGCCCGCATATCTGTGAAGCTCGCTTCATCCTACTGCTCTGTGGCGGAGCGTGGGAGCGGGCTTCATGTGATCGATCGTAGACAGGGACCATTGAGAGAATTCCGCCCATTATCTATCCGGGCGTTGCTTGGATGAGGCCAATTCCATCAGGGTGGTGACCCCGGTGCGAGAAGTTCAGCCTCGCTCGGGTGACGAGTCTGCTCGTCCGCTTTTTCCCTCTGTCGTGCAGTCCTAGCTGACTCTCTCCATCCAGCGGTTCTCCGATGTGTGGCTGTAGGTGGGTGGCATCCTCCTCTCCCGAGCTGAACAATCTTCGGTGAATAGAGGGCGGAGGCCACCACGAGAGCTACACACACTACATTAGCGTGGCCGATTTTCACTAAACAGACACGTTGTCGTCGGCACCAATTTCCCGTGTTGTGAGACGCAAGAAATTGACACCGAGGTTTTGACAAACTCTACCTCACTTTGCGTCTTTCGGCGAGGCAGATTTGGTATGTATCCGTATAGGAAATCGTTTCCGAACTCTCGTTCCGATCTCTGCTCAATAGTGCCTCTTTCAACATCCGATTCGTACTTGTCCAGAGGACCTATAATACGTGGACGCCTTCCCTGGTCACAGGCAAAATCACCCCAACAGGATGCCTCTCCATACAAGTTGAAATCAAAGAGGAACAAAGCGAAGATCGAAGCGTGCTCTCGCAACTGTGTGTTACTGTAGGTGACCGTCAATCAAAGGTGACGCATGCAAAGGAGCAAAGCACGTTTCTCGGCCGGCCGCTGCCGCGGGGAAAACATGACTGCTCGCGGTCCCCCCTCTCGCCGCCAGTGCTGCTGCGGATGCTGCCGCTGCCGGCGCGAAGGCCTGCGCCCCGGCCGTCTGCCCCCCCGCGGCCGCGGGGAAAACCCTGCGGCCGGGGGTCGCCATTCTCGCCGCCTGTGCTGCTACCGAGGGTACCGCTCTAGCCGCGAGTTCCTGCAACCCGGCCGTCCCCCCGGCCAGTACCACGGGAAAAGTATGACTGCCAATGGTCCCCCCCTGTCGCCGCCGGTGTCGCTACCGATGCTGCCGCTCCCGTCACGAGTGCCTGTGCCCCGGCCTCTCCCCCGCCGCCGTCGCGGACGCGGGGAAAACTCTGCTGCCGGGGGTCACCACTCTCGCCGTCGCTGCTGCTCCCGATGGTACCGCTCCCGCCTCCAGTACCTGCACCCCGGCCGTCCTCCCCGCCGGCGTCACGGGGAACACATGACTGCCGTCGGTCCTCCCTCTCGCCGCCGATGCTGCTGCCGATGCTGCCGCTGCCGCCACGAGGGCCTGCGCCCCGGTCGTACCCCCCGCCGCCGCCGCGGGGAAAACCCTGCCGCCGGGGAGCACCACCCTCTGTGCTGGTGCTGCTACCGATGCTGCCTCACTCTGCGAATGCCGGCGCCCCGACCGTCTGCCCGCCCGCCACCGCCGTCGCGGGGCAAACTCTGCCGCCGGGGTTCACCCCTCTCGCCGCCGGTGCCGCTGCAGCCCATCCGGTGGAAGCCTGTCTCCGAACGACAAGCATACTTCAGGCCCTGTTAGCCCGTCGGGGAGAACCTTGCTTGAGGCGTTTTTTCATGCGATTTATTTCGTGTTTATGTAGTAGTATCCTGTCATCGCGGATTTTCTCCGGATTTTGTTCTTTGGCCTTGTCATCGTCGGCACCTAATATAGTTTCAAGGGCTTCATTGCGGTCTGGACGTCTTCATTGTGCAGTTATTTGATTCTTGTTGTGCCTCGTGTTCGAGAGTAAGTAAGCAGTTCCGGCTTCCCGTGAAAAAAAAAGGGAAAGCTCCAGACAGGCAACGTCGACGAAACTCGTCGAGGAGTTGCACATCAATCACTAATGTCAAAGAAAGGTGCAAGGCGCTTCTCTATTGTTCAAATCGCAGCATATAATATCTTCTTGATTTTTGTTGGGCAAACATCGCCAGGTAACGTTTTCAACACGATCATATTCATTCATCCATTCGCTCCGTACCCTCACCTCGAAAAATTGCCAGGTTGCTACTATAATAGTAAGACGTTCAAAACCACTCTTGTTCCATGGATGCTCGATTTTGCCTTGCCACCTGATCCTCGGGGAATTCACTCGTGTCACGATCCACAACAACAGCAAATTCTGCGGTTCGTTCGCCCAAGATAAATGGTGTTGGCTGTTGAGCGCACCAAACCGCGATGTTCTGCTTCTGCGTGTTGCGATGTACACGCATCATCACGGACATCCGCGATAGAATCAATCGAAGGCTGTCTGTTGTCACGACAACAACAGTAGTACTCGTACACGTGTGTGTGTACTCCGATCTGCGGCAGATAGGGGCTAACTGACTGATGATATGCATTCGTACGTTCGTAGGTTCATGCACGTTGTTGAGATTTCCACGATTGATTCCACTCGACCCAATTTTTTGCACGGCCACGGAAACTTTCCATTGAAGAGCATGGTTTTTTCCACGGAAATTTCCTCGGCATAGCACATGGAATTTTCCATGGAAAATCCACAGAGTCGATGGCATCCATGGGACTCCATGGATTCTTCCACAAAGCGCCATGGAGTTCCATGGAGTTCCATGGCACGTTCTATGGCACTCCGTGGGGTGCTATGGAATTCCGTGGGGTTCCATGGCACTCCATGGAATATTCCATGAAGTCCCATGGAATTGACAAATGATGTGAATGATTGGACATTACATTCATTCGTTTTCAGGTCCAATCGAAAGACTGCCCACGACTCGGTTCTGACGACGGTTCATCCACTAATTCGCACAAGTTGAGACGTTCACACAATAAATTGCGTTGTAGTACCTGAAATATCCCTGAATTCTGAAGCGTTTGTTGTATTTCTACATATCTATCTCATGTATTGTCGGACGTCGATTGATTGTTATGCAGAGTTTTTGGTGGCACAGCAAAAGTATTCATGCATGTTAGATTCACCACCAGTCGGGGTCTCACAGGAGGACGGCCAGGATCGAATATATTCGTATGCTTGGCGTATCTCAGGGAATTCCCAGAATGATGCGTTCGTAGTTCGTTTTCCGTATGATCGCGGCTGGCTGTGTCGGGGGTAAACGTATCTAGTTGGGGTGTTGTAGAATGGTGGGTACCTTTTGGGGGCTTGGTCAGCTTTGGACTAATACGTTTGCAGTCGTAGTCCCCCGGCTGGTATTTTTTGCGGGAAGTGAGACAGGTTTGTTTGTAAGAAGAGTCAACGCCGCGTCTCGTAGATAATTATTTGGCTGACGAGACGACGGGCGTTCCGTGTGTCTCACTCCCTGACGTGTCTCTTAAAACCGAAGAAAAGTAATGAAGCATTTCGAAAGAGAACAACAATAAAGAAGGTGCATTTTACTTTTTTATCATGTCATGCATGATTTCACATGATGGACGTACTTCGCCAGTCCACACTAAGTACGAGGGCCGAAACAGGAACAGCGACCGTTTCGCCAAACACCGCCGGTAGTCGGTTTTTGTCAGATCCACGCCAAAATGCAAGAAGGTTAAGCAACCGGTCTTTCTACGACCCCTACAATACCGCCATCCCTCGACAAACAGGAGCAGACGATAGCTGTCATTTCTGGCCACACTTTCATCACCATGAAACGAAACTGATCAATGTTCGTGAACATTGCCCGAGCTCCGAAAAATACTCATCTGACCAATCAAGGTCGGATATAACCTCATCAGTGTTTCTCACATTATTCACTATATTCAACATCGACCAATTTTAACCATTTTTGATCAACTATGTCATGGCTGGAAATGTACGTTGGCATTGAAGGTAATACGAACGCTGACCAATGTCGATCAATATTGGGCACAGTTTGATCCATCCTTGTGGTACTTTCATAACAACTTTGATCACATTTGCGCCGTAGTTTTCATGACAACTACCATCGCAACTGCAGTCGCAGCTCAACGTTGACCGCACATGAAAGTTTATTTCGCAGTCGATGGTAGTTTCACCAATTCGCACCGCATTGAACTACAATTAGGTACGAGTCGCATCAACATTCTTTTTCACTACACTCGGTAGCTACAGCGGGACAGAGCTTGCCCACCCAAGGCTGGGAGCCGTCAAGCTCGTCCTTGGAGCACTCGAAGACAGCGTTCGCGAAGACCTTGTTGAAGGCGTCGGTCGTGTGCAAGCCGTCCCAGAATATGTGTTCGTCGGGGGAATCGCACACAGAGACTGTCGGTGGGTCTACCAGGCAATTCTGGCAAGGCGACATCTGGTCTTGGCACAGCACACACTCATCCGTAGGGCCATAGTTGTCGCATTGTGCCCAGTCGAAAAGTTTCCCGCGAAGAGCCTGAGCCTGTTATTCAGGAACAGGCCAAATGAAAGAAAAAAAAACGGGACGACGGTGGTTAGCGAGGAGATAAGACCAGCGTAGGTACGCGAGGTACCCGCTTGCTGCATATTGGTGCACTCTCTTCATAGCAATGTTTTTCGTAATTTCGCAAGCACGAACACTGTTGAACCCACGAAGTAGCCCGTTGAGCAACGTACTTATACATCATCACCGGTTTCGTTCGCGACCAGCGACAAACAACGGCGCACTAACCTGGGAACCCATAATATCCGTGGAAGAATCAACGTGGAAGTTGTAAGTCAGGCACTGCTCGGGAGTTGAAGAGGTCTTGAAGCCCTCCTCATTGAAAATGTCGCGGTCATGGACCGAGGACTGCAGGCAAAGATGGATAAGCCCAAACAGGAAAACACGAGAGTTATTGAGAGGGTTTATTCCAAAGGGGCGTAGTCTGTCTCTCACGTTGGGGTTTGGGGTTACCTTTGACGCAAGGAATTGGAGTTAGTTGCGGTTGGATGCTGGCTCGCCCTGCCAATACCTCGAAACCAGCGGTCCGGGGTGAGCTCTAGACTAGTGAATTTCGAATAGAAGAGCATATTTCATCAAGGAAAAAAGAATCGTTGATCAACCTCATGCGCGCGCACAACAGCATCGAAAGGAGGCAAGGCTAGAAAACCATATTGAACTTGAAAGAGAGGAGGAGGGGATGCGCCGAAAGCACCAGAAAGCACCCATCCACCATTTACGCCCACACATGTAACGCCTAGATTATGCAACAAACTGAGGATGACAACCTCCACTTACGTCGATGAGGCTGTATAGATCGAGCACGCGTACTTGATCTTCTCCAGCGCTGGACAGCGCGGACAACTTCAAATCCAGCATGGTGTTCATCGTCGTGATGAACTGGTCGTAGAACTCCGCCAGTGTTAAACCGTAGTAGACGTCAGGTGAATCGAATGCCTGGGCAAACAGAGGAAAAACATCTTCCAGACGTCAGGGGAAATTACACGATATAGACTGACGTCGGTGTACATCCATAGTTCTTTACCGCATTCATCCATTCGTTGAACAGTTATTTTGTCACGTGCTCGCAGGCTATCGCGTTCTTGAGAGTATTCAATTGTGCGTTTTGTGGAGCTGCCAGTCGGATAAGGTCTCGTTCCCGGGAACAACACGAAGCAAACCCGGCGCCTGATACGGGGTTTGGTGGTTCCAGAATTGAAAATATTAATCACTGTGCTGTGGTCGCCCACGACGAGATTCAGACGTGAAAGCCGACATTTGCAAGAAATCGCCGCCATTATAATGTGTGTGAACAACGGGGAGCTTCGAAGACGTGGGAGCCGAATTTTCAACTGTCTACCTCGTTTCGAGCAGAAGGGCTCCTCTACTCTGAGCCTGTAGCTCCTTTAGCTGCATGATTCACCTACCGGGACTCCAAATGGGGACGGGAAGTTGGGCACGAGGATGCGGCCCGTCACGCCCATCTCGATCAGGGTTGCCACTGCAGCAACTATGTCGTCTGTAACTCCCTGTATGGGCGAACAAAGAGGGAATTACCCAAATGGAAATGACACAACGAATGTACGAGCAAATATTTGGAAATTATGGCCACCTGCTCCCTGCAGAAGTACGCTACACGCATGTTTCGCGGACCGATCAAAGGACGGTATGCTCAGCTGTCTGCGCTGTGCCAGGACCGGGCACCGCCGTCGGTACATTCATAGCTTCAAGGGCGGACCAAGAAGATTGAATGGATACAGAAGAGCGTAACTTGCAGAACAAAGAGGCCATGAAACGCACCATCTACCGTTGCAACACTGGCAAGTATAGCTAGAAGTGGAAAATATTGCGATACGCATCAAATCCGTTCTGTGAGCCACGGCCCGCAGGCTTCAGACACGCGTGTAGCCCCTATCGCAAAATCCATTATCCTCATCTGTCCGAGGACGCGGGTGACACGATGTACCCTACTCTACTCCTCGAAGGCAGTGTAGCAGTAAAGGGAAGAACCTCGTCTCACCTGCATCATGGTGACAAAATTCATGTCATCAACGGAAACCGGTTCGGTGTAGGTGACGCCGAGATACTCGGCTAAGGCCGTCCGTTGCATGGCTTCAGCCACATTGGAGACGTCGTTCATCCCGATGCCAATGAAGTGAGTGTATTCTGCACAGCGGGGAGAAGCAAGGGTTGCGAAGCGAGGTCATCAACACGTGTGATGGTTGTTCCGCACGGTCCACCAGACAAAAAAATAAACTCTGGCAGCAGGTCGATGCGTATGTATCGTGGTGTTCTGGTTGCATCAAAAATGAAAAAGGAGGTCGTTTCGGATACGAGGATATCTTGATGAATGAAGAACCCCGAACGAAAACATGATGAAAGCTTCCAAGTCTTGTTTACTTACGGTATACTCATCGGAGCTTTTGGTTCTTCATTGCCAACCCTGTCTGTGTCTCAATCGCATACATTGTCTTGGCACATACGTCGACACGAGCTGCGTGCAGACAGGGGTTCGCACATCGAAATGCACAAAAGGCTGTTGGTAAGACCAACACTCTTCCTCACCGCTACTGCATCCGATCTTGCCGTCTTCCAGCGAGAAGTCCTTGAGGTACTTCGTCATCTGCTCGCCGAGAGTCTGAAGACACCGGCAAGAACGGACAAGAACACTTACGAACAGAACCCGAGGAGGCGCAATCTGGTGGAATGACCAATGCTCGCCGCACACCGCCGTGGGTATTTCACACACCGCATGGAGTGGTAATAGTGAATTTTTCGCTATCGCTCGAGTTTAACCTCACTCATACGGCGTAGATTCACTCACCCCAGTCCGCCTGCTGGCTTTGTCTGCTTTGGTAGTGTATCCAGTGCACAGCTGTTGGGAACGGAAGGTGTCCGTGGCTGTGCCGGACCCGGTGGCGTAGTTTTGCACCTGTTTCGCGTCGCAATGATACCCACCCGTGTGTTGATACCCCATGACACGCAACACTTCAAATTTCTAGCGTGACAATAATGTTCGGGGTTGTCATTATTGCGTTCATTGCTGCCTACCACGAAAGTGCATGATGCAGTAGCTCCTTACGTCTGCCAATCTTGCTTTCTGAGAACGCTGTCCCGAGCTCACATTGGGTATGTTGAGGTACTGCGCCCACACCTTTCCGTTCGTGTTAGTGCCTTCATGGTATACATCCACCATCCCCTGAGTAATTCCGGGCACGTGCGGAACCGTGTCAGATAAACGATCTCGAACTAGGGTCATCAGCATGCTTACACAAAAATGCACTGGTATAATTGTTTTGGAACGAGCGATTGTTTTTCCTGCATCAGACGAAAATATTTTTTGGCCATTCCGCATCTCTTCAGAACAGTGGTTGCATGGCAACTACTGGATGCATACGTAAATACTCGATGCATGTTGATTTACTGGAGGTCGTCAGGACTACGTACAGTGTATCACGGAGCACAACGATCAAATCCGTGAAAAAAATGAAGAAAGAGATATCAGCCACACCCAACGTGCGCCACAAAACTGAAGCTGCCCTGGGCTTATGTGTTTGCACCCGCTCGCTGCTGGGCGTGGCGAACAGCCGGTAGACGTGTGGTGATGTCTTACCGCGAGGGACACCTATGGTTGACCGTCATTCCTGCACAGGTTCACAGTACCACAGGTAAATGTGGTCTATTACAGATGCGCGGTGACCCATTGACACAACTCGTCTACCCGCTCGGCGGAATATTTTGCTGTTTTCTGAAGACCAAGACGGACTACGGTACTGGCGAGCACTGGCGATCGCGAATGCAATTATGCGAGCAGGTTTCACCTCGCCATCGGCATCATAGACCTTCTCCCAAGGGTACACCCCAATGTCCGAGAACGGATACACGTTTGGTGCGTCGAACCTCCTGCCAGCGTCCGAGTTCGAATCTCCAAACACGATAATCTGGGTGTGACGGGTAGGTGCAAGAGGATGGTTGAGTCAGACCGGAAATGAACACACCAAGATTTGATTCAGGTGGCTCGGTACAAAAGTGGCCGTATGTACACATGCTAACGTTATAAACGCGAGGATAAACACATATGCTCGAGGGGGAAGAAGCGTCTACTGTAGTTCGCGCATTGCATAAAAGTCCGTCCCCGGTCGTTGTGCACGTTTTGACATACACATCCAACGAGGATATGCAGAGTCCAGCTCCATGTGTAACATGGAGTTTGCCCACTCATCAATCAATGGAACCTGAACAACCACAAGCCGACGATGTCTCCATAGAATTATTGGGCTGCGCAGTCCGCAAGTTCATCCAAGCAAGGAGTGCAGGTTTGTGAGTCACGACAAACCTTCGTCTCCTCGCTGCCTGTTCCACAGGGGTAATCTTTTTTGCACCCGTTGCGATTGCCGTGGGCCCTGACCTCTTCTGCTCTCCGACGGTTGCTGGGCTCACCAATATTAGCCCCCTCTGCAGTCCCTTGTTCGCCCACGCCCTCGCTAAGTGACACGTCGATAGCTCCCCAGGCGCTGCTGATGGCGGACCATGCCACCAGGCCCGACACGAGAAACATCTTCGTCCACGACGCTACCATTGCACACTTTCCCTGTTTTTCGAAGGTAGGTGGTCGGGATGAAAGTGTGAGCGATTGCGAGGTGCTTGTTGTATCCACCTCACTCATTCATGAAACGCGTTCTACCCGAAGGTCCAAGCATTCGGTGAAATTTTTCGGGACAAAACGATCATTCCTACAGTAGAAACCGCTCGGCGCAATGATGTACTGCTGCAGTACAGTAGTCGAACAACGATCACTCACTACTGTCTGTCGCCCAAGAGTAAATAGCGTTTCCCTCTCTTGCGTGGTTGTCAAAACGATCGGTGGATACGCCTACCTACCTAGCTACCTAGCTAGAGACACAGGTGGTCATTCGCACAGCAAAGTTTTTCTCCGTCGGTCCATCTCCCGAGCGGGAACAATCGGACCGTCGAACCACGTCTGTCCTCCACATCTCCGCTTTTCCGCGCATCTTTGAGTGCAGTTGATGGATGGGGTGTTCGGGAAGCCGGGGCCAGAGAACAACAGTCTCATCCAATGTATGGAAGATAGGTTCTTCTCCTTCTTGTGGTGGTGGTTATCGAAACCATCGTTGTGCCGGTAGACAAATTTTTGTTCTGGGCAAGAGCGGAGAGCCGAGAGATGCAGCAGTGCAACCAGCATGGCTCCACCGCCTGAACCACATTCCGAACAAACAAAACAATCCTGCGCGGGCGATATGCATACATACTCTGTACTTGAAGGAGACGCAAGTCACTAGCATCGATGTCTGCAGCGTATCAGCCCTGTCCTACTCTCGCAAGTACGCATCAGCATGGGCTAAATACTACCTACTACAGGAAGCATGGGCTAAATACTACCTACTACAGGAAGATGACGTTCTTGAAGCGATATGACATATCCAGTCTAGACTATATACTGCTGTAGGGAGTCATTCCCTCTCCCTCCGGCTCCCCAACATCTCACCCACCATCCGGTGCAGTGATGCGGGACTGGATGATTTTTCCCTCTCGGGAGGGAGATAGCGACCCCACGACCCCACTGCTGTGTCCATATCAACACTCATATCGATCGGATCAGGTGGCATGTTGCCGCACAAAATGTTCTCCAAGAAACGTGTGTGGGCGTGTGGGATAAGGTGACGGTTAATGTATTGATGCGTCGTCGCCCGGCCCGACGTCGACGTAGTCTGGAGCATATCCTCCGCTGGTGTAGTGTATGTTGTATTTGGATACCACTGCTGTAGGCGTCAAGTTTGTTACTCGAGCACATGACTTGGAAAGTCTGTATTTCCTTCGACAGCATGCTGGATGAAAGAGATGCAAGTAGACTGCGATAAGGAAATTCGCGATAGCGTTGTGGTTCTTGATTGACGTCTTATTTGCCTGAGGACAAACAACGCTACGGCAACCCTTACTTCTGGGCGGGCCAACCCGCACGTCACGGTCCAGTAGCCTTCACGACGCACTACTCCAGATCAAGGCCGAAACATTTAAAGCCTGCACCATTTCCTTTGCGGATGTGTTTTCATTTTTCACGTCTGTCCTCTTGGCAAACCCGAAAGGCCCTGCTGTACAGCCGAAGGTTTCCCGCTGCTAACCTCCAAGTTACAGTACGGCAAACGTTGGACAATCTCGGCATGTCCCCGGAAGGCATCCACCTTTTACAAAAAAAAACTCCGTTCGCGACGAGACAACGAGGCTCGAAACAGCATCGATTGGCGACCGACGCCCTATAGCCAAAGTTGAGACACAGCGATCTACAGTGTGTGGCACCGAGTAGACATTCAAAAATAGCTCGCCCCTCCCACCTGAAAAAAGAGACAAGCTTGAGACAAAACTAACGAACAGGTCCATTCTGTTGCTCTACGCCTTGTCTGGCTTTTCGTCTATTACTCTCAACCCGAAAGGCCCCTGGCATACAAGCGGGGTCCGGGACCAAAATTAATACGCCGAAAAACACAACCGCAAGTCCTCCTCCAAAGTTACCCCCAAGACACGAACAAGAGGTCAGCATGATGAAACATACGCATAGCAGGGTAGGAACTGGTCCGAACCCCGGCCTGCCAAAAAAACTCTATCGTACCCCCAACGAGAACGCAGGACGCTTCCATGAAGGGACCAACAACACGACACACGAAAGGAGCGAGACTCGTCTGGTCAGGAGGAACGTACAATGTGCGTACATCAGGACGATGTCAAAAATGCGTCTCTGCTGCACTCCCGCACACGCGGCCAACGACACGAGAGCGCGCTTGTTTTTTTGCGTCTACTACGCATCTACCTGCCTAGCAACGAACCGAAACCCTCTTGATGGTTGCATGAGAAGCTTTGCGTCAACAGCGGGGGGCACCGCTGATGGCACGTGCCAACCGTTGGGCCGCCCGCGCAACCCATTTCCAACGCGACACACTGGGCTTGACGAACTTGGAGGTGATTGCCCTCCAGCTACCAAAACAGAATAAAACCACGGCGGCTACCAAAGACGAGGCACGCTTACTTCGTACAAAACCCAAGAACAAACGACATTTCGTGGGCGTTCGTCCGCGACCCCCTCAAACTACACCTTTTTCAGACTCGTTCTCTTGTGTCGACCGCGCCCCTGGGGACATGTGTCTTTCGACAAGCATGCACACATGAAATTCGATTGTCATCTTGATTCCGGCTCCCCATTGCATTGCAGCTACTAGACCTCAGTGATGGCGTCGAGAATAGCACCTCTGCCGGCGTTGTCTTGGAAAATTGCCCTGACGAACGGGAAAGCACCAAGGGCGAGCGAGAGCCAAGTCGACGAAACAACGACGCTACAGATCAAATTCACTGCAGGCGGGCGGGTGGGGCGTGAACGACGGCAGACGTTGTCTGCCGCGTCAGATGAACGACTGGCCCGGTAGTCCCTGTTTAGCGGGATGCCCCGAATAGCGGTACCAAAGTGCACCTCGGTACTCAAACTACCATAAAACTGCCAATCCGGTTTAACGGCGAGCCCTCAATAGCGGTTACAACATTCGTGATACTATGGACCGCTAGCCGCATCACGACTGTATTGCTGTACAGCAGTAGCCCTCTTTTGGCGCGAGTGTTCTGCTTTGGTGGACAGGGGTACTGTATAGGTCCCTCTACAAGGCCGGTGAAAATCGAGTGACACAGATGTGAGGTACTGAAGTTGCTCGTGAACACTCAACAATGCTGGGTGCCCGGTATGAGACCTCCCCAATCGTTTGGCACTCTGAGGCCTACTACAGAATTGAGTAAAAAATTGCTGCAGTCATCCTGGTGTGAAAATTGAAACTGTTGCTGTGGGAGTCGTGGACGTGTGTCTACAACGTATACACACCTGATCAAGCCAACCAGCTCGTCATTCGTTAAGGGCCGCAGCCCGTCGCCTTCACCCTGAAGTCGTTCCCCAATAGCCTCCAGCCCAAGCTCCATCATCTGCATCAACGCACCGACAGCAGCAACGAAGGTTCAACCAGTCTTTCTGCGCGCTCATCCACCGCGTGGAGACAATGACAGAGGCTAACAGTCAGCAAGGAGTGCCCCCCCCCGGGTGAACAGCAGTGCTTGGGTGACATCCACAGCGCGCCATTCGCCCGGCCCTATCACACGCTCCCCGTACAAGCCCGAGGACCCAAATCAACACGAGATGGGACACGTTCACAGCCACTCTGGCACAACGCAGGCGCGCACGTTGCACCCACGCTGGGAGCATCCGCCGCGACCGACGCAACACGATATCCTTGGCATTTGGCACACTACTACCCGGACCAACTCGCAGGGGAAAACAAAACACAACACGAGATCATCACAGATGCACAGCTGAACATCACACGAGGGTGGCGGTATGTGCATTGTATCACATCACACCAAGAACACAACCAGCTTTTGATACCCGAGTGATCGAAAAACGCATCTGACCTCTCTCTCCGGATCTCTCTCTCCAACCAGCCGCACAACTCTATCCATGCTCATGATCAGCACGATGACCAAACGGGCACTGCTGCTGTAGCTCGAAGGCAACTCTAGCCTCCGTCTTCTCACCTGCCCGACTACAACCGCTTTGCTCCAGCCTGGGGTATACTGCTCCGCTTCTGCTGGAGAGTCAAAAATGTCTTGGGCCTGCGGGAATTAACGGGGAGGGGTGGTAATGGGGGCGATATTGTTCCGAATTCCGAACCCATGATGGCTGTTGCGAATGGAAGTCTTGGTGTCGTACTGCTGTAGGAGTGAACTAAACGAAAAGTGAAGATGCGGGAAACCTGCACCTTGCTGAGGAATGTGATCTGATACCTCGTCGATTCTTGTCCCTGTGCATGTCCTGTGCAAGTTCAATCTTGCAGATGCGCACGCATCGGGTGTGTTACATATCCCACGCGTTGCACATATGCACGCACACACTCATACCCTCGTGTTGCCGATTCTGCACGGCATGTTTGTAACCAGAAAAATCACGAACGCAGCCCCGTAGTTGGAACCGGAATCGAAGGCAACAACGAACGCAAACAAATCGCGATATGTCTCACCGCTTCTCCCAGCGTCTTGAAGATCCTGTGGAGAGCGTGCGTTTGCTCCTCAGCCAAGTCTTGGGCGCCCATAACGGGCGTGCAGATCTTGCCGGCCACCAGCGATAGCAGCGCCCCCATCGCACGCTTGTACACACGGTCGGGGAGAACCTTGCACCAGGCCTGCAGCATCGCGCCGCACCGCGCCGCAAAAAAAAAGACACAGTGGGGGGAGGGGGTGTCAACAACGCCGGTTCATTAGCGCCGTCTAGCGCCGGCACAGGCTGAATGAAAATCAAATAGCGCCGGTCCCTCTGAATGGCGCGGGTCGATGCGCTGGGCACATACCGGCGTTTTTGAGCGCCTCCCACGGCTGTATTACGTCAACACGCGCAACAGGCACAACATCTCTGTACAAGTGGGACACGCACTACGATATTCTCGTAACCTTACGCCTCGCTTGAAAAAACGTGGCGTGGTCTGTATGCAACACCTCACCACACGTAGGTCGTACCTCGAGTCAAGGTGCGACCTGCGGCAGACACACGCCAAGGCTTTCATCCCAAGCAGCAGAACCGCATGTGCTACCAGCTCATACAGCTCGAGTCAAGCTGCGACCTTAGGCAGTCACACGCAAGACTTCCATCCTTAGTAACAGACACGCAGGTACACTACTGAATGCGGGGCACGATGTCACGGAACCCCAGAGACTATTTTCAGTTCAGAGATCACTACACGCGGCATATAGTAACCATGTTACGTGTGACATTCCGAACAAGTGACAAGCACGTAACAGAACAGAAAGAAGCACCAACGAATACCTGGCAATAGCCCTAAGAGACATCCACCACGCGAGGAATAACTTCAGCGCTACAGAGGCACACCACGGTATGAACCATGTGCCGCAACGGGTTCATTCGTCGTGTGGGAAAATAGGGGAGACAGAAAACGAGGAGTTCAACGAGAAGAAGACAGACAAACATAACTTGCCACACCCAAAAAACATGCGTCCTTGGAACCGTCAAGACCCCCAAGCCTTCGCCAGCCGACCTGACTCCCGCTAGAAGACGTCGACAGCACACCGTACCGTACCGTACCGTACCGCAGCAGAAAAAAACGCCACTCTGTACGGAACGCCGAACCACCACAAGCCAAGACTAAGACTCAGGATTCCGTTCGCCCCTCACACCCACCTGCCGAAGCTGCCGCAAGTGGTACACCGACTTCCGCACAGCTACCGCCGTTGACCCTTCCTCTCCGCCGCCCCCGCCGTATCCCACCGTCGCCGCGTCGCCCCCGGATGCGGCCATCCATCCCCTCGCATCGAGACGCTCCCGGGGATAGTTCTCGCCTTCCCCGTGGGGGAACATGCCTTCCAGGGCGGAGGTGGTGGCGTCATGGAGCGAGGAAGACGATGACGATGATGATGATGATGATGCGGCGGCGGCTTCGGTGGAGGCGAGGACATCCACTCCGACGAAGAACTCGTGCAGCTGCCGCTGTTGCCGCTGCTGCTGCTCGGAGAAGCTGGTATGACGTCACGTGCATGAATGGGGGGGGGGCGGAAACACGAGGTTGGACGGTATTGAGCGGTTGAAAGGGGGGAATGTAGGTATGATGGTCTCTTCTCCAGGGCATTTTGATCCTGTCCTTTCTACTCCTACCCCTGCTAGAACCATCGCGGCTGCCGAGACTAAATAGTGGCACATCTGCACACACTTCACGCCTAACAAACATCATCCCCAGTGCCACTAACACGCCACACGCACACACGACCCCCCGCGGGCTGCAAGACTGACTAATTTCACGCCTTGAGAACGAATCACCTGTGCGCAGCCAGCTCTCGGAAAAGGTGCACGGTATCGATCATCGTGGCCGTCTGGTTAGCTGGGGGAGGCAAGCCGTGTCGGAACTCGTGGCCGAGAGTGACCATGTGGTGCGCGAGGTAGAGGCAGTCGTTTTGGAAGACCGCCGCGATGCGAGGGACGCCGTCCAGGGCGTTGGCGTGTTGGACGGGAACCACCTGAAAATCATGCGATATCGCGTTTACGTGGGATGCACGAATCTGGAAAGTAGATAGCGGTAGTGCCTCAAGGAACCGCAGGCTCGAAAGACAACACCCTGCTGGCACATACAACAGCGTCGAAGAATAACGACGTGCCGGCACGACGAGGTGCTACTCTTTTTGTATTTTTGTATTTTTCGTGCAGCCGACCCTGTTCTTGTTTTTCGACATTATCTGCGTGTGGTGTGCTAACTGCACACTGGATCACGTGTGTGCGCAAGGCACACTGGTATCACTTCGAACCAGAGCCAGTTAAAATACAACCTAAATAACATGGATTCGGTAGAAGATAAGGATAGCACGCAGTAGTCAAGAACATTAACCTCACCGCCCTGAAAAGGTCGAGCATGTCCCTCGCCGTACGGAACAGCTCCTTAGCGCAATGAAGCGGGATCTGAACGGTAGGGAGGTGCGAGGGGCACAAAAGAGGTAAGTGAACGGGGGGGTTCCGTGGAAAACTTGGTCCGATTGTACAGACCTCAAGAGTATTTACCATGCCTTCAAGCGCATTTACCATGCCTTAAGAGCATTTACCGTGCCTTGTACGCTTGTCAGCAATGCAAAACGAATCTCATTGGGGTAGGCATAAAGCCTCTCCGCGTACAATGTAGATATGAGTGGGATCCGTGGTTGAGGCCGGGCACTTGCGTAGCCCAATACCTCCAAATAAGCGAATACCCGAATGCAATGAAAACAAGCGTTTCCCCTCTTGGGGGAAAATCAGAGCTTGCCATGTCGTTGCGCGAGCCACCTCTTGTAGTGCTCGCTATCGTTTCCACCCGGTGAACTGTTTGCTGATGCGCTCCAGTGGTGGAATGTTCGAAACGTTACGTTTCAGCACGCGCGCGCAAAAACGACACCAGGGTACCAACACAGACCAGACACCACCCGAAAGGACATTTTCTGAGCATGCAGCTGACCCACCACAACACAGACTCACCTGGTCCGAACAAGCCTCAGCAAGGGTAGCACGAACAAGCGCCACAAGGGAGCTGGCCACGGTCGACACCTGACGTAATCACCAACATGCATCACCATCGACACCAGTGTCCTCAAAATCGTACCCCCTGTTTGTTTTATTGCTTCTGCGGGGCATCATGCTCCTGAAAACCATGGTGCCTTCCTGCGGGGACGGCTGTCATCAACGGCACCGGCGTTGCCGTTGCAAGAACAGTGTAGATAATACTTCCACAATAAGAATCGAACCAGAGTCGAAAACTCCCAATACCAATACGAGGACGACAAAGGAGGTCTGCCTTTTGCCATTGTTGCAGTATTTTAGCTGAGGGTGCTGTGCACAGTCATCAACGTCACACGTGACGAAACGCAACATGTATCGAAACGGCGCAGGTGCAACGGTACATTCTTACTTGGCATGCCTCGAGCCGAAACGCCTGCGTCTTGTTATTGTCCTTGTCGTGGCCGTAAATTCCCATTTTCGAACCCTTCGCTGATGTGACACCCTGGCAAGTGAGCCAAGTGAAACGGTGGGTTCAGGTCAAGGTTGGCGTTGTTTGCCATCGAGTAGCAAAACCGCCACGTGTTCGTTGGGGCACAACGTGCCTCCCGTTTGTGAATGGACGTGCTCAGCACTCTCTGCCACAGCAAAAACAGAGGCAACTACCATGATAGTATTTTATGAGAGGAAGAACCCAGAGAAAACCCCTCAAAAACTTAAACTATTGTAGCCTCCCGGGGTATTGTTACCGTCAAGACTCACCTCGGAAGAAGCTTCGTCGGACGAAGCACCGCCTTCCAGGGCATCGGAAACCTTACGACAGGAACATGTGTCGATCGACACCGATGCGTGTAACAAGTGCAGGTTAGATAGACGCGGGCAGAATGATGGTGAAAGGGGATCAGAATCATTTACACTCATCCGCTACATGGTGTCTTATCTCGAAGCAACAACAAACAAGTGATGTCCGGCGAGGGACATAAATAATACTTGCACTGCGGCTCGCTTTCACGACAGCAGTGGCATTCTTGATGACGGAAAGACAATAGAGCCCCACAGCAACGCGTAAGACCCTCGGGGCAGGCACTACGAAAGAAACAATTGATTGCTCCACGAACAAGAGGGTAAGAGGGTAAGAGGGTTACTGTGTTGCCAAACCCGACAGATGCATCGAGGAAACTTCTCTCTCAACCACCCGTTTCCGCATTGGAACCCTCGTGTAGCGGAGTACTGGAGCTTTGAATGTAAAAATCGAAGGCATACTTTACGGGTAGCGTACTTCTCTTCGGCTGCGGAAACGAAACACACGAAACAAAACCTACTGTATATACACAATTCAATCGATATCTGAACATCATTCGAACAAATCGATAACTACGCCAACGACGTATTGTATCTAGTTTAGGCTGTATCGAAGTAGCAGGGAATTACGTGCGGAAATACATTCCTCGACGACTATCACAGCAGGAAAATACCGAAAAACACATCGTACATCCCTGCACCCTGCTGCTGCTGTTTTGGATAACGACGCCCAATGCAAAGAAACCATTTCATTCGGCTTCCGTTCTGCGGGCGTAACATCTACATGTCACATTTTCACTTCCAATCAGTGCAAATGTAAACTCTACACAACCCTTTTCAGTCGGTGTTGAATTGGCGATTGCTTTAATACAAGCCTGCAGGCGGAAAAGCTCTGAACTCTGAATAAAAATATGCAAAAATAATAAAACTTTAGACAGAAATCGGCATCCACTTCCACCTCGACAGTGTTGTGGTAGTCCCCTAGGGCCAGGTCGCGAGCCTGCTGAAGGAGAGTTCTCCTGCGCTTCGCCGAAAACCTGAACAAAAACAAATGGTCATGAAAGTGAGAAAACTCTTCGGATGCCGCCTTGACAGTCGCGCAAACACGAACAACCACGAGGGAAAGGAGAACAAAAAAGAACAAGGGTCACGTCGTGTGTGGGAGAGCGAGCGCCCTTCGGTTCGTCGAAACCCTTGCCGAATCAAAAAGAACAACAAGACATCACAATAAATGGGGCTTCGAATTCCCAAACGGATGCCATTGTTGCATGAACGCCAGGAAGAAAAAGTCCGGAGCACACAAAGGAAGTGAAGGGAAAAAAATACGACACGCAAGACTTGGCCGGTGCGCCTCGGCACAGGCAACAAGCCAGCGGGAAGCTCGCCCGCATCCCTGGACTCTCACCTCCCGTCGACGGTTTCAACAAAACGGCACAGCTTCCCCCGCACGGCGGCCTTCTGCTGGTTGACCGGCGCAGCGTTGTCGCTCGCGTAGTAGCCCATCTCGCAGAGACGATCTTCGAAGAGGTAGCAAGCGTCGCGCGCTCCCTGTGATAGGGATGGCGTAATGATAGAATGGCGCGTGTGCTTGAGAGGAAGATGAGTGACGTGTTCGGCCGCATCGGGATCTTTCGTTCACGCCAGCCTGGCCGTCGCCAAGAAGACGAGCTTGACGCACTCCTCCACGAGGAAAGCTCCGCCGTCCCTAACACCCACCGGTGTGCGAAGGATACGGCCGTAGATGGGATACCAAGTGATAAAAAAAAGTCCGAGACGCTATCATTGGAGCTTCTAGAAAGGATAAACTCATGTTGAGACACAATCACGAGAGAAATCAACCCCGAGAACCGTGGATTTGGAAAGACAGCTTCGTATTTACAGCGTGCAACATTATCATGGCAGATGGCGCCTCCAGAATGTTCTCGAAAAATTCACAAAAAAAAAAAAAACACGAAATTCACCCGTTCGAAGTCTGGCAGCTGCTGTGCGCTGTGCGGGATGTGGTCCTCCAGCTTGTTGAGGAGAATCTTGCTCAGCCCATCCGGGTCAGACATCAGCTGCAAGCCGAACGCCGAAGTCAGGTGCGCCCGTCCCCCTAAAACCTACACGTGTGAAATCGGACCCGAATCACGAACGAACGAACCAAGCAAGTTGCGGCAACGAACGAGCACGAACATGGGCTGTACAAAATTAAGGAAAAATAAATACACACACAGAAAGACTGACCATTCGAGATATACCCACAGTCGTAGAAAATAATCAACCGAAAAAAGAACAAAAAAAGTTGGCCTTGCGAAAAGAGCGTCTATCGCTCTCAAAGTACCGGGGGCACTCGTTGAATATCCACGCTGCACGACAGGCGAAACAAATGAAAAGCCATGACCCACCCTCCTTGGTCCTACCTGGCGCCGCCACTAGGAACAAACCGGGCAGTTGCTCATCTACTCCATGACACCATTCGAGAGCAGGGTACTAGAGGAACACTACCGAACGCTAGGTCAAAGAAGCACAGCCAGCACACCTACTACTCGAAGAAATGCTGGCAAGTGGCGAATGACCCCCCTGCGTCACCGCTCTTGCTCGAGACAAGAAACACTTCGTCGCGAAACGAATCCCCGCAGTACCGAAATACAAGGCTGATTTTGGAAAAAAAAAAAAGCAAAAAACACAAGGCCGGCATATGTGCAGGGATAGTCGAAGTACAACAGCTTGTGTAAGGGAGGACAGGACGGACGAGGGTCTCACGCTCCCAAGAACACCGCCTGCGTCATCAAGTTGCCCAAAAGAACACGCATGTTTTCCGAGTGGAAGCAGTACCGCTCTTACACCGACTACAGACACCTTGCCGATGTTCGGGCGTAAATTTCTGGTTTTGCCACATCGAAACCTGCGTAGCACGTCCACGTTTCCATTATATATTCAAGTTCCCTGCAAAGAACGTTGATGATGGGCTGACGTTAAGAAACAACAGACTGTCTTTCCCTCTCCCTCTCCCTCTGTCTCTGTCTCTGTCCCTCTCCTGTCTGTCTGTCTGTCTGTGCCTGTCTGTGCGTTCGTCTGCTTGACTTCCTCTGTCTGTTGCCCCCCCCCCCCCCGCCCCCACCTCTCTATATTTATCTATTTGCCTCTGACACACGCTCTCACCTCTTCGTGCATAAACTCCAGCACAACCGTAACACGACCAAGCAGCTCCGACACCATCCCGGGGCCCCCTTCCTTACCCCCCCCCTCCTTCGATGGAAACCCGCTTGCGCCCGGACTCGCCGATGCTCCACCGGCGCCGACCCCGATGGCTGGGGCGGGAGCGTAAGTCAGCGAAGCCGAGTCCGCGTCCGAAACTCGCTGATTGGTAAAAAAACAAATTAGGCACGGAAGTAAGATTGCAAACGGGGTCGAGTTGTTGTCATAATGACATCCATCCCAACCAGCTCCACGGGATGACAGAGAGAATGGCTGCCCCTCCAACCAACCGCCGAAGTCTGCAAAAAACTACCCCATGTGGAGAGGGTGAACCAAGAAGAGTGCAGACGACACCTGCCTATCGAAGAGGTAGGAAGAAAAGAAAGTTTTCACTTTCACTTGGTTTTAGAGTGCGCCTACTCCAGGCCCCGTGGCTTGGATCTGCACTGTTACTTGGTTCTCCAGGCCCTGTGGAAGTACCTTGGTGTTTAAGAATTATGTCTTCGTGGACCTACACCTTCGTAGTGTAAGTTAGCCTGTGACCACGGGAATCGACCGCGTCAAATGTTCGACCAGTAAGGACAGACGAAGGTACTGGACAGAGAGATCGGAAGAACGGTGTTTTTCTTGCTTTTGTTGTCTTTTTTGTTGTGCGCCACAAGCACGCGGGGCTTGCGCACCTTCGGAGGAGGTACGTGACGAGCAGACAGGAGGGGTGCGACGACGCTCTTCCTCAGCTTCCCCGAAATCTCTGAGAACAGGGCGTCGAGCTGGCCCAGCCTCCCGAGGGCCTCGAAGACGTCGACGAGGGGCACCGCCGATCGGAAATAACGATCGCATAGGTACCCGGAGAATAACTGGTGGGATAAAAGACAAAAACCAGGCGTTCCAGGAGAGGGCGGGCGCAAGGGAGTAAGTATATCGGTGCCATTGTGGATATACATATCGCGGCAATGGTGTGATTTCTCGACCTTGAAGATCACGGGGGTTGGCGAACATGGAACCGTTGGAGGTCGCGAACGGAACAAAATAAAATGTTGTACCAAGGCACGGCAACATCACGACGTAGTCATAGCCGCCCCCTGAATAATAGTCTGCTCCAGCCTGAACGTCACCTTAACGGTGTCCCCGTGTCTCGCGTCTTTCCGACAATTTCTGCGTGTATCGTCAAAAAGAACAGTTCCCTCGCAACAGGACACTGCTTTCATGATACGGTAAGCAGCCCGGTATAGTGGCATGCAGGGGCAAGAGGAGAATGTGCCACTGATCAGGGCAGTGCCGCTATTCGAAATATCGGGTCCATGCACATGTTGAGATTGTGACAAGAGAGTCTGATACGACTACCGTATATGACACAAGATAACACACCCCCTGGGCCGATTTTCAAAGCTCGATTTCTCAACAGCAGGAAGAGTCACAGCGCCGAAAACGGCGGCGTTGGAACCGTCTCGTCGAGAGGTTTTCGAAAATGTATTGTTTCGTTTATGCATCCTCTTCGTCGTGGAGTAATCGAGCTTTGAAAATCGGTCCAGGGGGTGTGTTATCTTGTGTCATATACGGTATATCGATCGGCAGTTCTACTACTCAAGTTGCCACACTACTACTGTATGTCAGGCTGCTCCTGTAGCGTCTTACGTTGATTCACTCTATAGCGGCAAACAAACTGCAGTAGACACTTCAAACCATCCTCCAGTTCTTACCACGCCATTGTAAAAAGCAACCGGTCAGGCACGTACACCAAAGCGGCGTTTTGAGTTCCTCGCCTGTTGCCCCTCCCGCAAATATGATTCCTTTCGGATGGGTCAGCCGGTTAGCGCGACGAACTCCGAAAAGCCAGCACAGACTAAACGCATGGTCCACAAACGCAGACCATCTGCACAGGAGACTGCCAGCCGCATCATCGCAGACTCATCCAAGCTGCACCCACTAAAAAAATGCGGTTGCAATCTATGCATAAAAATAATAGATAGGTACCTTCCGGCAGCGAGTGGTGGGTCCCAGCTGAAGGGCCTCCTGCACCAGGTCTCGAAGGTGGCTCTCCAACGCGGCCCTCCTCTTCAGGAGAAGGCGCTTCACGGCGCGGAGGACGCCGCTGTCTCCCCCTGCGCCAACAACGAGCAACAAAATCAGGTCGGCGGCACGACATAAGTACAGCGTCCTCCAAGAAAACAGTCGCTATTCGTGGGTGCACTTGCACGAAATAAATTCCTGCACCTCGTCGGCACACAGGCACTTGATCGGTTATTCATCGTGCCAAGGGTAAACTTGAGTTGCGGCCGCAGCTGCTGTGGTCCAGCCGGAAAACGAAAGTTTCTGGGCGCGAATAACGGCTTCCCCGGTGTGCTCTCCCCTTCTACTCGTGTTGCCGCTGCCGCTACTGCTGCTAGTGCTGCTGCTGCTGCTGCTGCTGCCTGGATGCTACCACTACTATCGATTACTGTCAAACACTGCTCACACTTCTTGTGCCACATGTACGCCGCAGTGCATTCTTGTGCTGTGTTCCAAGCCTGTCAGACCACGTCGGAAGGGCTCGTGACGCCGCGGCACACTTTGCTTGCTGACCATACTACGCCGTCAATAAGCGGGCTGCCTGCAGGGGCATTTGCCGTGCCCTCTGGGTTTGCGAATAACGAAGACATAACAACAGTAGCAAAACTTCCTGCGGATTCAGGTCTTCTCTGCCAAAGAACATCGAGCACCTGTTCCGGAACCGTTCCGCCGGTTCTCCTTGTCGACCCCGCCCCCAGCTCTTCCCCCTCGGTTTGCGCTCGCCGCTTCCGCTCGCTGGAGGTCGCCCAGGAGCACCTCGGCGCTTGCCACGGCATCGGCCGCTTGGACGTACTCGTTCTTGGCTAGGAGAGACTGTGAGGAGTTCAGGAAATCCTCCGCCTGCCAGGGGAAAAAATCGCTTTCGGTGTTTTGTTTTTCGGAAAATGTGGCCGCGACGAGAAGCGACACATGTAGTGCTCAACTGTATCGAAGCGGGAATCGATCAGAAGCACGTCCCGTATGCTCCATCGGCGTTGAGGCTTGAAAAAACACAGGCATAAAAAAAAACCATCGGCAGCAGCAATGACGACAGCAACAACAACAACAACAAACGACAACTACAACAACATCAACAACAATACCGAAAACATCACAACAACGAAAACCACAACAGCAACAGCAGCACCAATAACAACCATATCCCCACCAACAACAACAACACATGCAACAATACCCACCAACAACATCAATTAAATACAGTAATTTTAGCACACAACACTCAACAACAAAAGCCGCCCCCACCTGACACAGCCCATCAAGAGCGCCGATGGCTTCCTTGCACCGGGAGGCCTGGTCCGCCAGCCTGTTCACGTCTGCGAGGCTGTCGGCTGTGAGCGACGCCACCGATGAGCTGTTGCTGTCGAGCACCCTCGCAAGGGTTTGCACCTCTCCCTTAAGATCCTGCGCACCACGACCACGCGTCCCATGCCATTCCCAGCGTGAATGGATCAGCATCGTGTCAAGGCGTCCCAACGAAACCCTCGAAGTTCCCCCGAGGTCAACAAAACGAGTACCGATATCGGGGCTATTGTAACAGAACATTTCGGGGGGGGGGGTACTCATAGTCGTGCATGCCGTAATCGTTAGACCATTGACGTCGCATCCCTACAAAGCCGGGACGGAGCACGCCGGGTTCTCACCGGACCAGGCTCTCATATCACCAAGCGCGAAGCACCGTGAGGTATTCGGCGAGTCGCATGAAGGGTGAGCTGCATCCTGCTAAGGGTGTTCGGCATCTTGTGCTTACTTCCTTGCGTACGGATGACAGCTGCGTATGACTTAATTTATTTTCTGGTGTTTTCACTTCCAGAGACAGTTATAAGCACTGTGTAGCTGCCTCGAGGATGCTTGACAATTTTTAACACAACGTGGTGCGATCAAATTGTGGAGGCCAACCCAACGGGGCGGGCAGCCAGCAGCGGAATACAGGGTACAGGATACCGATTGTCAGAGGCGTGTATAGGTGTTCGACTCCGGGATGACGGGCACAGCCACAGCCATAGCCACTACCGTGGTGACCCTTGCTTACACGTAGTCTAGAGTCACCGGTGGTAGAGAGCAGTAGCACCGACGACGCCTTCTCTGCCCAGCACGCGGTCAATGGTGTGAGATTCGCCCCCCACCCTGGAGATCTCTGCTCTGTTACGTGCATCCTATGCAAATAGCTTGTCGCCGAGAGAATATCTACTAGTTTCAGGCATGCTGAACCGCCATTCCACATGCACGTTGTGACAGGTGAAACGGTTGTGGAAGAAGGCAACCATGGTCACAAACAACGTCACCATTCCGTTTTTCCCGTTTTTTCGTGGTAGTCGATGCAGGTGCCTCCCTCCCTTGCAGAGGCAGGCAGCCATGGTTATCCTGGGGAATATGTGTGCTCTTTTTGGTGTTCCCGCCGACTGATGACGCTTTCGGCGTGAGGGTGTGAATCGTGGAAGGACGATCTTTTGGACGCACATTGGGTACTGCTATAATGCGCAGCAAGTTGAAGCAGTGCCCAATATGCGTCCAACAGAAAGTCCTTCCAACCCTCGCACCCTGACGCCGAAATCGTCATCAGTCGGCACGAACAACACCAAACAGAGCATACGATACATGTCTCCAGGATGGCCACCGGGGGGCACCCCCACCATCACTGTGACTGGCTGCTCTCGATCGGACACTTCTTGTTTGAAAATCCAGTTGGCTCCTCGCCAATACCAATTGCTGTCGCGACAGCTTTGCGTACCATACGTGACACGAGATACCACCCCCCACCCTAACCGTTTCAACGCTCGATTACTGAGTCCAAGAGTTTACTCGGTATTCATAATTTTACCGCCGTGGTGGCGGTACCGGTAACCGCCGTTTTTGGTTTATCGCCACCGCTAAAGTCGATTCCGCCGACAAACGCAAATGCCGCCTACCGCCAAAATAATACCGCCGTTTGGCGTAACCGCCGAAAGATTAACGCCGTTTTTTGTTTTCACCGCCTCCGCCAAGTTCGTTCTACCGCCAAAAGCGCATTACCGCCTACCGCCAAAACAATTACCGCCAAATGGCATTACTGCTGTACCGCCGAAAACGTGTCCGCCAAAAAACCGTTACCGAGTAAACCTTTGGATTACTCTGCGGCGAAAAGGAGCATAAATGAAACGATGCGTTTTCGGAAAACTCGACGAGACGACCCCAATGCCACCATTTTTGGCACTGTTACTCTTTCTGCTGAGGAGTAACCGAGTTTGGAAATCCGTCCTGGGGGCGTGATATCTTACATCATGTCGCCTACGGTACCCAAGGCGGCTGCTGCACAGCAGTACTATGCATACAGCAGTAGAGTGCGGGATGCATGTGGCGACCGCCGCAATTCGTACTGGAGACTGGAGAGATCAATTCACATCTGTGGGTTGTTTGACATGGTCAGGTAAACATCGTTGGAGCGTCAAGAGCATCCGCCAGATCCAACAACAACTGCCGAACGCAAAAGCCGATAAGAGGCAGCAGTGAGTGACACGAAGGACGGTGAGCGTGTACCGTGTTGTGCAACCAAATACAAATAGACCAACGGAAAAATCAAGTTGGATGAGGATTCCAACCTACACGTAACACAAACCCTACAACAACACAACCCAAGACTAACATGCTAAGTCCTCAACCCAGACAAATGGCGTCATAAAAACCTGCCAACTGCCCCCATGCTCTGCACCACACCTGGAACTTCCTCTCCGCATCCCCCGAGCAGTCGAAGCTGCCAGCCGACTCATGCACTCCGTGTTGCTGGTTCTTGATGGACAGGTGCACCAAGGACGCAACCGTCTGCAGCTCCTCCCCGAGCTCCTCCAGCCGCTCTCGAACCATTTCTGAGTCCATGGAAGCCTGCATTTCTTGTCGTGCACCCCTTTGCACTCTCCTCTGTGTGCCGCTAAGGCGCCTTGTGCACGTCCCTGCTGGTGTATGTGACCGCCGACTGGCCGGCCGCGGCGGGGCGATAGCAGCGGCTCCACAGCTGGGAATAAGCCGACCCGCACCTACCCCGAACACCAAACTGATTCGGCGGGCCCCGTGTTGACCACGTTCATCAGTGTTGCGTGATGCACCACCGAGCAGAGGAAGGCAGAGTCTATGTTGCTGCCTCCCACCTCTCAGTAGAGCACACGGCGTTCTACACCCTGCATGATATCGGTCGGGAAAGGGTGTTCGGATCGATTGCGCCGTGAGTGTTCCATGTACAGAGCACGAATGAATATGGCGGAGTTCTGTATCGTTGTGATGAGTTGAAGTTGAAAATTCGAAGCTCTTCCATTATCCACACTGCTGACAGCGGTGGCATATGCGAGAGTGGCGCACGCCGCACCAACTAGATACCGCGCTAAAACCAGATTTACTCCATCTCCCGCAAAAGTGCGGGCTGCCGATCAATGCCGAATGGGACAGCAGTTACAGTAATATGGGCAATGTGCGTGAGGCCTTCCTGTGTGGCCCCGGCTGGTTCGTCCAGACTTGCGGCTTGAAGCCTGTCGAGACGATGAAATCCCAGATGGGCTCCTGCACAATTCCAACCAAAAGTCGGGACTAGGGTCCACCACAAAAGGGATGGCACAAAAAAAGGTCACACAGGCAAGATATACACGAACGAAGTCTTAGTCGATTTTCATCTCACGATACGAACAATCACCTGCGATTGAAGTGCCGTGGACTTATACACTAGCGCGATCCCATCAAGAGCATATAGTACAGATAACTCGTCATAGAAGTACCATCCTCTCTCCTGAAGTTCGAAAGGGTAGAAAGGGCTCTTGTTGGCGCCCACCGTTTTTGGAATGGGGGTGTTGTCGAATACGCCAGAGAAACCAGAGGCCAGAACGGCGACGATACCACAAGAAACGATCCATGTATATTTAAAACAAACGCAACCGGAAGCTCACCGCCGCTTTCTCTGCCCCGCCGCATTGGTCGAAACGAGCGGGGGGCCTTTTAGGACGCACCTTCTAGCATACGGAACTCGAACGCCGTAGTTCCCTACTTTCGCGTCAGTCTGCTATATTTACCGAATCGTCCGCATCATGCATGCTCGTAATATCGAAAACCCTGAACCATCACCATCGCCACCCACCAGGAAGATATTGGCCATTAGTGGCAAGAACAGCTGTACGCCGTCCACACCGCAACCACCATTCCAGCGACGATTCGAGCCGGTCCCGGTCTTTCTGACACTGAACCTTGCGTTATGAGCGACCGCCACGATGCGGGAGCGCGCTCTAGCCCGGGCTTTCAATCCGCAATCCTGCTGGCGGTCTCTCAGCTGGGTCCGCTTCTTCGACAACAACTCCAGTCCAGCAGATGCCAACCACCTCGGCAACAATGGCAAGAAGAATCATCAAAAGATGACTTGCCACCAATACTCCACCAAATGCAGCCTGACTCTGGTCGCTCTCGCCGGACACATCCACCTTCAGCAGCAACAGATCGAACAGGCTGAGGAACGCTATCACGTGACCCCCACGCGACAGCCACATGTCGGGCTCAGACTTGTATGGCGATAGTACTTCGAAAGTTGTGAAGAAAAAGAAGGCTATCAGCGTGGCTATCGCGATTTGGGCCGCATCATTCGGGAAGATGAAGACGACTACACCCGTCAGCATGACGCGGCGTACGCACTCGACTACCTCGTAGTAGAACCGCTCGGGCCTGTACGGTTCCCACAGGCCGGCAATCGGCTGAGCTACTGCCTTGTCCGCAAGGGCATCGGCCAGCACGGTGCGGCGTTGGAACAACAGGTTGGCATACAGCAGGGGGATGCCCAGTGGGTATACAATGATCATGACCCCTGCGTACACTTGAAAGGCCTTGTGTTTGGCGTCCGTGCAACGAATACGGTAGTCGGCCCGAAGGTATTCGATCTCGTCAAGTGTCTCGCACGCAAACGTTTGAAATACCGTCGACGACACCGACGAATATATCAGGAACGTCAAGAGCAGGAGAGCCGTCAGATGTTTGTAGCGGATCTTCTTTACCATAGCGCGGCCGCCGGTGCTGTTCCTGCCCATCGCGATCCGGTAAGTCAACGCCAGAAACCCAGCAACAACCAATGGACCCAAGTTACTGACAAGAAGCCGATCGTGGAAGTCGACGTCGGACCACAAGCACCCGGCCGCGAGCATGTAACCGAGGTCGAAGTTGATCACGTCGATGGCGCTCAGAAAGCCTTGGTACACGCGAGGATAGGTAGCGTTGGCCGCGTCTGCAAACTGCGCGGAACACCAGAGCGAGCACCCACACAGATTGGGTTTTAGCGTGTGGTCAAGCCCCCGACTCAAAGTTCCGGAGGCTTCTGCTACGCTACTCCATCCTGTCTCAGTCTACAGTATTTACGTCTGTCCGCCGAATATTCAGTTTAATATCAGATTGTTTGAATCTGATGGAACAATCCACCGAAAAACAGGCTGGTGAGCACAAACCTGTGTTAAAATCTGCCACACGACGACGATGATCTTCAACGCCTGGAGGGGAACGGCTTTAAGTATCCGTCGATAGAAACACCCGACGATTCCCTCTTCGTGCTAAGTCGACAGCATGTACTGGAAAATCGTCACAATTGTGAAGACTGAAACTAGCGCGGCGATGACCGTGGCGGCAATTGATCCTTCGCGCCTTGAGCTCGAGCATCGCGTACAGGTGTGAGCAAGCGAAGGGGCATAGCCAGTTTCGCACACAGCGCAGTCTGACGAAAGCACAGTCACGCGCACACGCAGGCGAAGGCAAAGTGAAGAAACGAGGGTCAGGAAAAAACGCGTAGAAGGGGCTTGTGAAACCTCAAAATGTTGCAGTAGCGAGCGCTTGGGTTCGTAAACCCTCTCCTCTCACATGATCCCGTGTACCCTGAGGCGCAAAAGCTGTCGGCCCCCGTTTGTCCCCCGTTGCAAGCATCTGCATTGTAGCACGCCAGGATGTTGTCGCTTTCGGTCGTTGTGCGCCAGTATCCTCCATCAATGTTCAGCGTTTCCAACGTGACACCAGGTTCCTCCGCCGCAGTGTACTCCAACGGCGTCTCACATGTCGGCACGACGTCACCGCTTGTGATGGTACAGCCGGAGCACTCGTCCCAATCAGCACAGTCCAAACACTCCGTCTCAAAGCGCTCAACAGATCCTTCCTACATTTTGCAATGGCAAAGCAAGCGAACACTCATTTTCCAGAAAGATTGCATAAGTGCGTGTGTAGACCACTTTTCCTCCGCCTGGAAGCAAAATCTTGTTTCGAGTGAGTAGGGGTGCGTGAAGGCTTTGTTTGTGTATATTGACACACAAAGTTGTGACTCGAGGTATTTACACGGGCTTGTCATCGCAGTCAAGGGCATGTGTAGCACTCGTCGACTGAGGCAGGTTACAGAGTCAAGAAGCACGTGTCACGGTGCTCCCAGACGCGGAGGCGTCGCAAGGAAAGCGTCCTCCGCCAAATATAGCGGACTGCTAGGGTGTTCCCCTGTGGGTTATACGAGTATTGCGTCTGCCCCCGTTTACCTCCTCGGTATCTTTACGATACAAGCCAACCGCGCAGATCAGCTCGTTTCCATCGAATGACGATCCGCTAATATTCGCAGACCCGACGACAGCAACAGCGAGACCGCGGGTTGAAGCTGTGTTGGAGATGAAGGAACAATCGCGGATGACCATTGCACCGCCAGGTCTCATAGCTCCACCGACATCTGGGCAGCGCGGATTGAGTGAGTCCAGTTTGCGCCGAGGAAAATGCGGGTGCCGAGCATTGGATGACAAATGCAACAAACAAACTTAGAACGCACCCAGTACTCCAAAATGCATCACGTGGAATTCGAGGGCCTACAAATCCGATCTCCGGTAGCCCCTTCGGTCATAAACAAATACATGCGTGTACTTGTCTCACCTGCTGAGTTGCCCTGGAAATCACAAGAAAAAAACTCTTGGTATCCAGACAAGGTGTCAACCGCCCCTCCTGTCGCGGTAGCCACGTTGTCCCAGAAAATACACGTCAAAAACGTTGTAGGAGCATCAACATCTCCAGCCACATACGCCGCGACCGCTCCACCGGTACTGGCCGAGTTGGACTGAAATGTCACGTCCGTGAATTCCAAGGGCCCCCCGCAGTTAAACAAGTACAACGCCCCTCCCCCGGTTCCTGCCCTGTTCAAGATGAATGTCGCGCCGGTAAAAGGCTCGTGCTCGGAATTATAACCTTCCAAATTAACATCGAACAAGGCCAGCGCGCCGCCGTTGTCCCCCCCAAAGTTGTGGCTGAAGTGCATGTTTCCATCCCAGGACACGGTCGATTCACCGGTGCCGTAGATGGCACCTCCATCAAACGAAGCGTTGTTGTAGGTGAACTCGGCGCTGCCTGCACCGCAGGACACGGGCGAATTATCCGTGTATATTGCTCCCCCGCTCCCTGCAGCGCTGTTAGATGTGAACTTGGCTCCGCCTCCATCCCAGGACACGGGCGAAACATCAAACGCGTACATTGCACCTCCATTCCCTGCAGCATTGTTAGAGGTGAACTCGGTCCCATCGCCGTACCAGGACACGAGCGACGAAGAAAACGCATATATTGCACCTCCATGATCTGTAGCAGCGTTGTTCAAGGTGAACTCGGTCCTGTCGCCATCCCAGGACACGGCCGAAGAAATATCCGCGAAGATCGCACCACCACGGCCTGCGGCGTTGAAGGTGAACAGAGTGCCATCACCATCCCAGGACACATTCGAACTGGAAGCGTGGATAGCACCTCCTTCTTCGTCAGCGGAGTTCGAGCTAAACTCGGTGCCGTCACCGTTCCAGGAAATGTTGGAAGTAAGAGACGCGAAGATTGCACCTCCATCGACGCCAGCGGAGTTGAAGCTGAACTGGGTGCCGTCGCCATCCCAGGACACGGTCGATTCGCCACTGGTGTAGATTGCACCTCCGTCAACGTCAGCGGAGTTGAAGCTGAACTGGGTGCCGTCGCCATCCCAGGACACGGTCGATCCAAACGCGAAGATTACGCCCCCTTCCAGGCCGGCGTTGTTAGAGGCGAACTTGGTGTCATCACCATCCCAGGACACGCTCGAGCCAAGAGCGTAGATGACACCTCCGGAAACTTCAGCGGAGTTGGAGATGAGCTCGGTGCTGTTGCTTTGCCAGAACACGTTCGAAGCAAGCGAAACTATTGCACCTCCCCAGTCAGCGGAGTTATTCCTGAACTGGGTGCCGTCGCTATACCAGGACACCGTCGAAGCAATCGCGCAGATTGCCCCCCCAAACACGTCAGCGCGGTTGGACCTGAACAGCGTGCCGTCGCCATCCCAGGACAAGGTCGAAGAATTCGTGAAGATTGCACCTCCAAAATTGCTGGCGGAGTTGGAGATGAACGATACGTTTCCGCCAAACGAGACACTCGACTGTTCCGCATAGATCGCCCCGCCGTCGGAATACCTGCCGTTCAATAAGGTCACGTCCGAGAGGTGTAGGCTCGAACCCCCGTCTACGTAGAACAATCGGGTGGTGTCTTGTCCATCGGCAATTGCGCTTGGTCCAGCCCCAGTGATGTTGAGGGATGTGCCATTCGTGACACGGATTGTTTCATTAACGAAGACTTCCCCGTCCGCTGAAGTCACCATTCGAGCTTTGAAGGGAGGCCGCCAGAGTAGCCGCGTCTTTGGTGCTGCGGACGGCACAAGGGCTGGCGGCGAAGCTGCAAGTCTGAAGTCCTTGGCCCCGAGCGATTTCGGCTAGAAGGCCCATGCACACGACCTTGGACACGCCCATCTGCGCCAAAGACAGTTGAGTGGAAGGATAGGAGCTTGTCGGGCATCACTGAATTCTTTGAGGCTGTTTTGTACCAAACAACCTGGTGTTTCGGCAGAACAGCTAGAAAAGAAAATGCAAGATGGGGCAGGTATGACAAAAAAAAAGAGAACGGAAAAAATAGAAAGCAGACGGACTCTTGCCCGCAAGCATCCGAACGCAAAGGAGAAGAGGGGGAGGAGTAGAGAACACGGCCACAAGGATATAAGTACGGAGGAGGAAGCGAGAGTACGAAGACTAGGAAACAGACAGAGAGAGAGCAAGCGCATCGCCGGTCTGCGGAGGCCCTGTTCAACCTCATCGGGGGGTGGCGACGTACGTCGTAGACGCTAACGACCGGGAGGCCCGATTGAGGACGTCTGTGGGCTGATGATGCACCTGGGGTAAACGGCGCCAAAAAATCGGCGCTATATTACTTCACGGAGCACGGGGTTCTAGGGCGGGAGCGGCGTTTCTGTGATGCGTTGCTGCGGAACTTCAGCAAGGACCTCGATGTTTGGACCACCTTAGTTACCCCTAGAGCGCTGGCGGAGAAAACGAAGGAGGGGGGTGGGGTAATGGCGTTGAGGGACATCCCGCTGCCGCGGCATTTGCCAATAGTTTCTGGATGCCGTCCCTGGCGTTGGTGGCAGCGACCATTAGCGCGAGGGGGGGGGGGGGTCTTGCCGCCGGGGAAGGAACACCTTCCCCCAGAAAAGCAGCTGAAGTGCCCACCGTGGCGGGTGTTGGCACCGTGGC